GGGCACCGGGGAAGTGGGGGGCGCGCAGAACAGCGGGCGGGACGGGCGCCTGCTCTCTGGGAGCCGCCGCCCCGCTCGTGGCAAAGATGGCGGCCGAGGCCTCGGTCCGGTCGCAGCCGCCGGGGCCCAGCGCTGGCCTGCAGCGCTCCCTGCGCCACATCCCTCGCCCACCCTGGACTCATCCTTGCTCCCCGCCCCTCCCTGCACCCTCGCGCCAGGGCCTCCCCCCGGCCTGGGTGTGGGCAGACTTTCTCGTGCCAGAGCTTCCAACCAGAACTTCCAGTTCCTGCTCGACAAAGAACCCCACTTTGAAGCCAAGCTGAGGTGCGGCCTCGAGACACTCCGGCAGCCGCGGGCTCGGCCTGCTGATTTAACAGGGCCGGTCGGCGTCGGAGCGCACCTCCAGCGGGGGAGGGGGGCTGCGCGGACTCGGACAGGGACCCCGAGGCCGGCAGCCGGGTCCCTTGAGCTCGGCCAGCGCGCCCCGGGATCCCCCCAGGCCTCTTTCCCAACGCTTCCCCTTTCCCCACTCGCTCCAGGGAGGTGCGGGGGGAGGTGCGGGGAGGACCTGCTCCAGCACGGCTGCCACCTCCAGGCCAAGCGCAGGCAGGAGGCCGTGGTCACCCCCACCCGCACCCCTCCCGGGCCAGTGTCCACACAGCCACCCCCGGCTCCCCCATCCCCATGGAGAGACGAGCCCGGAAGAGGTGACCCGCGCCCGCCGGCCACACCCCGGGCCCCCACAGCCTCCCTGCTGTCTTGGGCTTGGACCCGGCCTGAGCCCCGTGCCCACTGGGCCCAGCCGCGGGGTGGGGGAATTCCAGGGTGAAGGAGGGCAGGGCCCGGGGGTGGCCCCGGGCTGTGACCCCGCCACGCCCGCTGGCTCCTTCCCGGCACACTCAGCCGGCCGCGCTGGGGCAGGTGGCCCTCAGCCTCGACGCCCAGTCCACCTCGGCTCCGTCCCGCCCTCCCCCTGCCCCGCCCCAGCCTGCCGGCTGGTCCAGGCCCACCGGACCACCCGGGTCCCCAGCACCGGCTGCAGCCCCTAGCTCGCCCCGGCCTGCTGCGCCCGGTGCCCGCTCCAGGCCCACCCTGACCTGGGCCGTGACCGCCGTCCCAGGGGGGCGCTGGGTGAAGAAGTCCCTGGACGGCCAGTCTTGTGGGCTCTGGCTCTTTTTTTTCTGGCCTTGGAGGGTGCCCCGAGGTGCCTTGCGACTCGGTATTCGGGCGCGATGGCCCTGTTGGTGCCGACCAGGAGTCTGGTCAGGAGCGCAGTGAAGCCCCCTGGACGCCCGGGGGGTCCCGCATAAGCTCGCCGCAGGGCCCCCTGGCCACCGCTCCACTGCGTCGTCGTTACGGAGCCAAAACACCTCTGCCGAGGTTCCCTACACGTACGTGGGAGACTCGAGGAGAGCGCCTCAAAAGCTTTTATGTTTTCCTGTTGGACCCCAAAGCTGAGCTCCGCCAGCGTGGCCGGGCCATCTTGGCGGGCGCCCCTGTTCGCTGCTGCCCGAGCCTGGACGCCTGGACGCCACGGCCCCGGCCCCCGTCCCTGGCTGTCTTCCAAATCCTGACCCCACCTCTGTCCTCCCTAATCCCTAAATCCTGCCCCTCCGCCCAGGATTAGCTCCCGCCCCACCCAGACACAGTTCCTGGAGCACCTGCCCACTCCAGGACCGCCGCCCCTTCCTCCTTCCTCTTCCCCCCATGCCGGCCCCAGAGGTGGCCAATTCCTGTTTCTCTCGGCTGGCTCCCACGGCCACGAACTCCCTCACCTCACCCGACCTGCGCCCACACGGTCACAGGTCAGCATCTGACTCGCGCTTTCCCAGGTCCAATCGCTGCCTGCCCAGCGTCAGACAGTGGACTCTGCGGCCTGTCTCAGGTGCCTTTCTGTCCAGGGAGTGTCCGGGGACGCCTGGGCACCCTGCCTCCAGAGGTCGAGGGGGCTGGGGTGGGATGCGGGCCGCAGCCCAGGTGGGCGACCCGCGGTGTGCTGGTGGGGCTGAGCCAGCCTGGACGCGGATGGCGATGGCCGCTGGGCTGCTCTGTTCCGACTGAGGCTGCGACGCGGCGGCCTGCGAGGAAGGGCTGCCCGGCCGGCCGGGAGCGTGCAGGGCGAGGCGCGAGGCAGGGACAGCCGGCTCCGAGGGCCGCGGCGCCGCGGTGGGCTGGAGGGCAGAGCGCTTCCCCTCCCCTCTGAACTGCCGAGTTCACAGTGGGTTCAGCTCGGGCCTGGGCGGGGTCGCCGCGGGTCCAGGAAGCTCCGCCCCAACCCGGGCCAAGCCCTCCTGGGGGCGCCGCGAGCCCGCTGAGCCTATGGGGGTGGAGGAGGGAAGGCCGCCACCGGGAAGCGCGGGCAGCCGGGGGAGGGAGAGCAGGGGTTAAAAGCCATGGTCGGGGCCCAAGCTGGACGCAGCTAGCGGCCGAAGCTCTGCGCCCCGCCGCACCCAGGTAGGGTCCGCCGCCGGCGGGGGGCGCCGGGGGCAGGGAGGGAGGAGGAGGAAGGGCCCGGGCGCCCGCCCTGGCCGGGCAAGGCCGGGAAGCTGGAGCCGGCGCCGACACCGGCGTCCGCAGGGGCGCAGCGGCGCACGCGGAGGCGGCGAGAGCGGGACTCGAGATCCCGCGCTGCGCGTCCCCCCCAGGCCAGCGGAGAAAGGGCTGGAGACGCGGAGGGGGGCCGGGCTGGGGGCGGCTGGGCTCGGGGCGCCGGCCACCCCTGCCCGTTCCTACGTCTCCTCCGAGGGTGGGATGTGCGGAGGAAGGGGGGCCGACGCGGGTCAGGTGTCTCGGAGCAAAGGCGAGATCCCAGACTGGGGGGCGCAAGCACCGATGGGGGGCGTCTGACGGGGCTTTTGGTTCCGCCTTAACGCCCCTTGGGTTTCTCTCCGCAGGCCTCACCCGCCCGGCCCCCACCCCGAAGCCGCCATGTGGCCCCTGGCCGCGGTGATCTCCGTGCTGACCGTGGCCTCGACGGGCGGTAAGGACGTGCGCGGGGGCGGGGGCGGGGCGG